AGAAAATAAAATACACACACACACACACACACACACACACACACACACACACACACGCACACACACTATTACAAACTGCCACACAACATGCCATGCACACAGACAACACACAGAGACACAAACTGCCACATGAGACACACACACATTCACACACACGAAGAAAACCCACACGCTCAACATTCCAAGTAAAGACACAAAAGACAGATTAGCACAAAGTCACACACACCAAACATGCACATGAAGGAACAAACAGACACACACACTCTTGCAGATTCCCGCATTGAAACACAAAGACATACACACAGAAAAACACACTCCTTCACATAAGTGACACACACACACGCCCATGCTTGCGTGTTTTCACAAGGGTGATCCTCACATGGACGGACACCCACACACGCGTCTGACACATGCCACACGCCCCTTGCGACACACCCTGTGTCTTTGGCGTTCCAACGTCCACACCCTGTCAAGGCCAAAGCAAGCACAGCGGCGCTTCCCGGGGCGTGCCGCTGTGTTGGCGCAAGTGTTGGCGCAGGGACGCGTTCGGGGGGGAGCGGGAAGAACCATATTGAGCGTCACACGAGCTGGCGAGGGGGGTTGTGGGCAGCGCGGCCCGAGTTCCCAAATTCAGGACGCACAAGTCCGCCCTCGCTCGGCCCGTCTCCTTTTGCACCGTTTCTGATCAGGTTTGGCAGGAGGGTTTTCTTCTTTTTTTTTTCCTAGCTTGTCACGTCCAAATGTGAAGCTTTGGAACTTTCTTTTTAAAAAATTTTTCTTCCCGCTCCCCCCTCCTGGCGGGCCGCACACGCTTCGTGAGCACAAACTGGTCTTTGTGCGTGCGCGCGAACGTGAGAAGCAGACGAACCGGCAGAACGTGACAGCGAGCGGGGCGGGGCGCAGTTTTGAATGACAGACGGACGCGTGACGGACAAGCAACTGGCGACACCAAGTTGACACTAAAGCGGCCACAACAAAGATGACATCATCATCATTCATCCGCAGTTTTTGTACTCTGTACGGGGGGGAACTCCAGTCAATCTGAGGTGTTCATTTTATGATTCGGTGGGCAAAAATTTATGAAGAACTTGACAAGTCCTTGCATTTGCATTCTTTCTTGGGAATGGCTAGCATGCCAGCAGGGTGGCCCGAATCCAGACACGGCGTGAGGCCAACTGGTTGAAAACATTTGGATCGTTTTGATGAAAGACAACAAACAGCAAGCGGCAAGGTTTGAACCTGGAAAATAGGACAGACGACATGTACGGCGTTAATCCGTCACACGCGGCCAAGCTAACGGCTAGCGTAGCTGGACCGTTTTGCTCACCGCCAGCTGGTCAAGTACTCGTGAAAGTGGATGTCGGTTAGGCACTGAACTGAGAAAACAAAGCCACACATTTCGTAACCATGGAGCGTGTCATCTCCAAACGATACCGTTGCAAAAACAAACCCAAAAAAAAAGTTATTTCAGCATCGACGTATGGACAAAGACTCCATTTTTTGGTGAGCTTTGAGAAAGTGTACGATGGCAAATGGGAACTTTGACAACATTTGCAAACGTCAAATGATTTCGAAGAAGAGTGAAGACGAGGAGTGCTTTTTTTTTTTTTTTTTCTCCTCCCCGAAGCTTAACGGCCAGCAGCCGTGCGCTCGTCACCTGACGCGGGCGCACTTTTGACAACGCAAGTCGCGTCTGTAACTCACGTCTCCCGCCAACTTCTTGAAGGCTCGGCGAAACGCTTTCTCCTCATCGTTCTCGTGGGCCTCCTCGAACGCCAGAGGTCTGCGGGGCGGGGGCTGAAACATGCGCACCACCGCAAAAGAGTCAGTGTTAGCTTGCGCGCACGCAACCTTCCCGGATGTCGCGAGCAGCTCAAGCTGTGGGCGATGGTCCCGCACAGTCTCGGGTACTGGCGAGACGCGGTCAAGTGCTGCTTTGAGATACGAGTTCCACGAGTGGGGTGAGCGCGCTCCTCTCTCAAAACACGCCAAGCATCTTTCCCCACCTTCGGAAAATGACACGCATGCATTTACGGCTCCCAAACGCGCACGTCTTTTGAGCGACCGACAAACTAACGTTTTTTTTTGTTTTCCTGCTACGAACGCACCAGCGCATTTCGCATTGGGGGTGAAATGTGAAAAGACGAAGTTCAAGGAAATACTTTCCGGCTCGGATTGCGGAGCCCCGATGAGATGCGCACACTTACCGGATCCGACGGGATGAAGATGGCCGGATCGATGTTGCTGCAGGAGCCGAGGGGAAGAAGGCGGCCGTTAAGCGTCGCTCGGAGAACAACGGCGGCGAAGGAGGCGACCAAACCGGTCCGCCCGGATTCTCACCTGACCACATTCAGGATCCCGCCGATGAAGTGCTTCGTGAAGTTCATCATCTGAAAGACAGAAAAGCCAACAACATCAACTCGATGGGATGGAGGATTCGGCGACAACTTGATGCATCCGAACTCCCCGCAGCGTTTTGTCGGTGAGCTCGCAAACGGGCTTCCTTCCCTCTTGACGCCGCGGCGATTCCGCCCCGCCAAAAGCGGACACGATTTCAAGTTGACAGTGCAGAAAACACACAAGCGCAAAAGGTATGGAGGAGTCATTCAGTTCGTCCAAGTTGTTTATCTCGTACGAGTGGCCCGACATGCGCGCTGCCAGACATTCGTCTCGCCGAACGCAACACGAAGCCATCTTAGGGCGGGGCTGACTTTCATCCGCGCGTTGTCCGTTTCACCTTGGGAGGCTGAAATGAAGATTTGAATGATATCAAGTTGACAGTGCAGAAAACACACAAGTCCGTTTCACCTTGGGAGGCTGAAATGAAGATTTGGGTGAACATTTGTTTGTTTACACCGTTCCCAATTAGGAAATGAGCCTCTTGCATCGTGAGCATTCACAAGCGCGACAATGACTGGAGGAGCGCAATCATGGGGCTGACTTTCATCCGCGCGTTGTCCGTTTCACCTTGGGAGGCTGAAATGAAGATTTGGAGTTGGTCAAATAAAGGTCTGATGTGCAGCCAGCAGTGTTCCCCATCCACATTTGTTGATTCATTGATGGATGGACGCGTCTCTCTTTTCTTTGCACGCTTTTCTTTTGGGTGAACATTTGTTTGTTTACACCGTTCCCAATTAGGAAATGAGCCTCTTGCATCGTGAGCATTCACAAGCGCGACAATGACTGGAGGAGCGCAATCATTCATTGGCAATTCATCGGTGTGTGCGCGTGCGCCGGTAGGGTCGACGCGCCGACTGCGCTCGCGTCTTTCCCGAGCACGCAGACGAGCGAGCACAAAGCAACAAGATTGGGAATCGTATGACGTGATGTTGCAGTCGGGAAGCGCCGCTACTTCCCCGATCAAAAATCGTTTCAGAACCAACGTGTCCACCCTCCAAGCTCCCCCGGAGAGTCCCCACCCCAGATCGATGCCCCAGAGCATCGGTGTCAAAGTCAAGGCCCGGGGGCCAGATCTGGCCCGCCACAGCATTTTATGTGGCCCGCAAAATTAAATCAAGCATGTCAAGTTCCACGACGCTTGCTACAGTCTGAACCCAAATTTCAAATTGTCATATGTAATCCACAATAACCGTCATTATTCTTTCTTCTGATTTTAAAACCAATTCTTCATCAATTTGCGGGGAACTGCGTATGTAAAATGTGGAGCGGATTAAACATTTATGTGGTTTCCCAAAATTCATACTGCCCCTCCAAGGGGAACCGGGACGACAATGTGGCCCTCGACAAAAACGAGTTTGACACCCCTGCCCCAGAGCACAGCAGAGCATCTCCAATAATATGGTGAAGTCCACCGAAGAGCACTGACAAATGTCAAGTCATTGGCGTCATTTGAGGGTTTGATATGATTTCGCTGCTTCCGTCTTCACTTGATGCTGACTGGAATTTTCCACAGGTGGAGACGGGAAGAAGACGACCGGCCACGGTGTCGAGTTCCACTAACGCGCACTCGAACCCGAACGCACACGCGTGAAGGGAAAACAAAGGTGGAAACGTTGTATGTGCCGCGCGTGTGCTCGCGTGTGTGTTTGTTGCTTACGGTGGCGGATGGAGGCGAGCGGCAGCAGCGGGCAGAAAGTCCAAAGTGTCTCGAAAACACCAAACGAAGTCTCAAGGAGCGACCCAAGTTGCTTTTCAGTGCATCATCAACACGCCCAGAGGCGCGCGCACGAGACAAGGTGCGGCCCCCGAGTTCCCAGGTCCTAGCGCACAACAATTTTCGGGTCTTCACCGCGTGGCGGACCGGGCGGGAGACTGGCTCCCAAAGTCACCTGTGCGAATGAGGGTACAACCGGAAAAAAAAAACCCAAAAATCAAACAAAAACCCTCCCGGCAGCGAGGTTCCTACTCTCGTCGTGCACGCGCGCCGACCCAGGCGGATGGCGCGGCCTGCGTGTTAGCGCCCCCCGGTGGGCAAAATCCGCTCTTCAATCACTGCTACTCGCCCGCGCTCGGGGCAACTGCGCCAGCATGATTTGAGTGCGACTGTTTTTGTGCTTTTTACTGTCTTATTGATGAATTGGTTGTTTTAATCCTTTGTTATTGTCCGACTTCTTTTTTGCTCCAGCTCGAGCATACAGCGGTGCTCTATGAATACAGCCGAGTTGAGATAGGACTTGTTTATATTTCTAAACGTTAGAAACAATTTGAAAACAGAATCTAATTCTTCACTTTTTCATGATTAGATTCCATGTGTTCTGAGTGCGTAAATAAAATCTGGGGAAAAATATACAATCTCGAGTGGCGAGGGCGAGTGACGTAGTATTGTCGTCTTTCGATGACGTTTACGGAACCAGGAAGTGGCGGTCTCCAACGAGTCGGACCACTTTTCGAGCTCGTTCCTGTGATGGTGGCCTCTGCGGGTCTCGAGCGGACTCGGTCGGCGCTGTGGACCAGGACGGTCCTCCTCTTGGTGCTGTCCGGCCTCCACGGACCGAGTTGTGTGGTGTCGGAACCGGGCAAATGGACCCTGGACGTGGACAGCGTAAGTTTGCCCCGCACACGCGCACTCGCTCTCAAATCCACTTGAGGCGCGTTTTGCCTCCCAGCTTCGAGCTAATTGAACGGAACCTGGCCTTCGGATGTGTCGCTGCGTCGGCTTTCTGTTTATGTGTGCGTTTTTTTCCAGGACACTTTGAAGACTCACGGCCTTTTCGTCTTTGCTAAAACTCTCTTCAACAACAGCTTCATCCATCTTAAATGTAAGTGCGCGCGCCTAGGTCGCAAATTGTTACTCTTGATTTCATGTTTTATGTGTGTGGGCGTGCGTGTGTGCCAGTGGCCAGCTGCAACTCATCTTCCCCAGTACACTTGAACGTGTCGTGGTACCTGAGGAGTTCTCACTGCTACGATGAGGTCTTCAGCCTCGACGTAAGACACGCGTTCATGTTGCGCGCGTCTGTCGCGTGTATGTGGACCCCGGAGTCAAACGGGGGTCTATTTCTCTGTCTTTCCGTTGGTCCGACTGTCCAGGTGATGCGAGCGGATCTGTACTTCAAGTCCACGGTGGTGAATCCGGGAGGAGGAAGTGGTTTCTATGTCTTCCACCAGTACCCTCCCATCCCTTGCAATCCACGTGAAGACCCCAACATTGTGAGACACACCGTGACACATACACACCATGACATTTGTGTGTGCGTGTGGTCTAAGTGCTGTATTTTTGTCATCACAGTTTGGCCTGGATGCCTTTGACGTGAAAACTCGACTGACGGAATTACAGGTGAGAAAACATCCGCACCAAACCGCACGTGACTGCGTCGCTATACGACACGACTGCCGTGGCGCCTCTCCGTCTTTCCCTGGAACGCAATTCACGGCAACTTGTCAAGGGGGACTTTGCGGCAATTTTGAAACCGCTTTTATTTTCCGGAGGATTTTCCAAAGTCGTTTCTGCAAAACTGCTGAAGCCTAAGCCAGCCGCTCAGCAGAAGGCCGCACGGGTGCGCGGATGCCCGGCTGCGAGCGTGCACGGCGAATGATGGATATCTTGTCCGTCCGTCTCTGATAAGATGGCTTTTAGTCCAACCAGGAGAAATGTGAAATAGGTTGTTCTTCCTTGGACACGGTGGTTTCTCAAAACGACTGCAAACGCCCTCTTTTCAAGGCAGTGGTTCAGATCAAGGAATCGCGCCGGCCACCAATCCGAGGCGTACCCCGCCTCTCCCTTCCACGCTGACAAATGCTCACAATTTTCAGGCCAACGCAGAGAAGACCCCCGGCAGGAGGCGCAGGGAGGCGGAGCTTCCGAAACCAAAGGTGAGAATGTCGTCCTTCTCCTCCTCATCATTCTCATCAACGTTTGGACTTGACGGCTTGACTTAAGAGTAGCGCTGTCTCCGCTTGAAAATTCTCGCAATGAAGTTGTGCCGCGTGACCTCGGCAAGCAGGAACTTGGGTGCTCTCCCCCTGTTCCACTTGAAAAAAGAAAGAAATCCAAATCTCTTGGCGCAAAGTGAACCGCTGCCCTCTGTTGACAACCTTTGTGGGTGAATGTAGGTGCCTCTTGTGGTCGCTTTTCAAAAGTTGTGATTGGGGAAGAAAAGTCACTTTTTCTTTTTTTTTTTTTGCATGCCCTCGACCCAACAAATGTTGCCGCAACATTCTTCGCACTTGAAAATTGGACGCGTTTGCGTTGACTGTTCCTCCTCTTTGTGGTCCAGTCGGCTGCAGGTGAAGCAGCGGCGGACAAGGACAAGGAGAAGAAGACGACGGCGACCTCTGAAGGAGATGCCGGCGCTCCTCCCAAACAGGTCCACGTGATGTTGCGCCTCGCGGCGTCCTGAAAGGATCCCGTGGCAACTCCCCATCTCGTTTGGTCTTTCTCATCATTCTCGTCTCATCCGCAATTCTCATCTCACCTCGTTCAATCTCATTCCGTGCTGCTCTCGTTTCATCTGGTGGGGATTTTTGTTGTTGTTGTTTGATTTTTTTTTCCCCTCGCCCTGATCTGATCCCATTTAATCGTCATATCACGTCAAAAGCTCGGCCTGCTCTCATCTCATCCTGAGTTTGTGTTTTTCTTTCTCATCCCGTCATTCTATTTTGGGGGATCCGTGGGTCGTTTGATCTCATCTTGAATTCTTTCCTCCTCATCTCTTCCAGATTTGATCCATCCAACTTAGTTATCAATCGCATCCCGAACTGTCTTTGCATCCCATCTCATTTTGGTCTGAAGTTGACGTGCAGGCCGGTCGTGATCGTGTTGCCGTTTCCCTCCCCCAGGTCGCCGCACACCCTCACTTCGACGCGGTGGCCGAGAGCTGGGCGGACGGTCCGTACATGTTTCTGCTCAGCGTCCAAGAGATCAAAGACAAGAACCGGGCTCCCGAGCCGGCCCGCTGGAACCTGCGACGTCAGTACTCGCTCTTTGTTTGCGCGCGCTCGTCTGTCACCGGAACTGCGCGTTAATACGGCCTTTCGTAATTCAACGGACGTTATCGGTTAAGTCGGGCTACTTCTTTCTCTCCCGTCCGTCAACTTGCTCGTGAAGACTCACGTGCTCGCGTGTGCTTTTGTCGACAGTTGACGTGAGCATGAAAGGACCCCACGACTACATCTCAGCCTCGGAATGGCCGCTCATGCTGGTAAGAACCTCGCGGGTCTTTTTGCCACGCGACACCTTGACTTCGGGTTGAATTGCTTCCGAGCTCGAAGCTCCGTTGACTCGCAGCCTTGAGATACGAGTGACCCGACCTGGGAGTTTTTCCACATCTGAACTTTATGGCTGTCAGCGCAGCCCTCATGAGTGGCAGTGAGCCAGACAGAGTTTGTTAACATTCTCATAATTCCTGTGGGAAAAAAAAGGCTAATATTAGTGCCGTACCGATGAGACAACACGGCCGGCCGCCACATAGACGCGACTGCTAGCCTGCTCCGGTGGCTTGTGTACATCTGACATCTTGACCCGCAGCGACGGGGCCCGCTCTCGGGCTGTTGACCCAATTGTGGACCCGACGCACACTGACGCCGACGGTCCAAAGAGGCCTTTGGAGTGGCCTGCACTGGAGACTCATTTCTGCCCCTTCAATCCCGAGTCCATCGACTCCAGGTCCGTTCAGTTGGCTTTCCACCGCATTGTACTCAGTGCTTTTGGTATGTCTTGAGAAAGCGTCACACTGTAGGGTGCTAGTTTTCTCGTGAACCCCCCCGCCCCCCCCTCCCAAAAAACCCCATGATAAGATTTATTAGTTTTTCCGGGAGGCACCGGATCAAAGGTACTTTTGGGGATCAATCGCTCGGCGACTCGCAACCGTCGAGTTGAATCGTTCCGTGCCGTTGACGGCCGTAGGAGTCAAAAGGTCCGCGCTTTCACCACGGCCCCACGGTGTGGATTGCGGAAGGGCGCTCAGTCGGCTGTGGTTCTCCTCCGCTCAGTTCTACATGGTGATGTGCATCGTGTACGTGCTGCTGGCGCTCTTGTGGCTTCTGCTGTCGGCGCGCTACTGGAGGGACCTGCTCAGGATCCAGTTCTGGATCGGAGGCGTCATCTTCCTTGGGATGCTGGAGAAGGCCGTTTACTACGCAGAATTTCAGAGCATCAGATACGACGGCTTGTCCGGTGAGCGCCGCGTTGCAAAATCGTCGTCCCGCAGCCCGCATCGTCCCAACGGCCGTGGCGGTCGTCATTCTCCCTCCAGTGCGCGGGGCGGCGGTGTTCGCCGAGGTCCTGTCGGCCGTCAAGAGGACGCTGGCCCGCGTGTTGGTCATCATCGCCAGCCTGGGATACGGCATCGTCAAGTGAGTGCGGCCGCGCGCGGGGCCCGTCCTTCTCGTCGACGCACGCCGCTAACGGGCCCGCGTGTCCGTCAGGCCCAGGCTGGGCGCCTTGCTTCACCGCGTGGTGGGCGTCGGCCTGCTCTACCTCATGTTCTCCACGGCGGAGGGCATCCTCCGCGTCAACGCCGTGAGTTGCCGTCGTCGGCGCGCGCCGCTGTGGCAGCTCCTGACAGGAGCGCGCTCGTCTCCCTCCAGGATCGCGGCGACAACGCCAGCAGTATTCTTCTGTGCGACGTCGTGCTGGCCTTCACCGATTCCTGCGTCATCTGGTGGATATCCTTTGCAGCCTCCAGGGGGCGCCGCGACGTCGCATTGAAACCAATGGGCGCCGCCGCGCGCCGTTTCCGAGCAGTCGATCGTAGAACCCCATTTCAAATCGGAAAAACAAATTGACGGAAGATGACGTGAAACGAAGCGCCGCGAAGCGCCGTCGTGCGCGATACGCGATGTGGATCGTTTCCATTCAAGCAGTGCGGGAGGTGTCGAGATGAGCCGTAGCATCGATGCGCTGGGCGTACGTTGGCCTTGGTTCACCGTTGTGACGATGCAAGTGGAGCGAAGGCCGAAAACCTCGCCGACGAAGGCCGCGCATTCGTCCCGAGTGGACCCGTTGGTCGGCCGAACCGTTTTGCCGCGTCTCGGAGCGGCAGACGAGCACTCGTTGTTGCTTGCGGTTCGTTGACACCAAGCCCCCCCCGCCTCCACGCAACAAGCGCCCCTCCCCGCTCCGCACTCGGTAAAATCTGCGGTTGGCGAAAGACCCGTTTGAAGCGGTCCCTTAGGTCCGGCACGTTTTGACACCGCTCGGAACATTGGAAGAGAGGAAGAGCAATCAAGAAGACGCACAAAGTACGCTCGGATTTCATCGCGCAAGCGTTTGAAGCACTTTGAAAAGCGCACAAGCCCAATGTTGCTCCCCGTTCCTTCCTGTCCTCTTCCCGTCACGGCCGTCGTCGTCCCGGTTGGATTTTTCCCGTTTGTTGTTGCTCTTGACTGCTTTTTTTTGGGCTGGCACATCTTTGTGAGTCTGGCTCAGACCATGAAGCTGCTCCGACTCCGCCGCAACCTGGTCAAGCTGTCGCTCTACAGACACTTCACCAACACGCTCATCTTCGCCGTCATCGGTACGCACGCACGCTTTTCCATACAGTCCAATCTGTGTCGCGTTTTGACAGCGGCCGTGGCCGCCGCAATTCGCTTTCCAGAACGTCGAACATAAAAGGACCATCATGCAGGAGAACACTGAACGAAGCGCAGACATGTTGTGCTTTGGTGTTTCTGGATATGCATGTGTCATCCTGTGTGCGCGTACCATTGCGCGTGAGTGCGGTGTTGCCCGTCGTTGTCTTTGCGTGGACTCCTGAGCGTCATTTGTATGAGCCGCGGGTGTAACTGAACGCCTTCTTGCGTTAGTCTGTGCATAATGGCGGGTGTGTTTTTGTAGCATCGGTCATCTTCATCGTTTGGACCACAAAGACCTTCAAGATGGCCAAATGTCAGTCTGTAAGTGTTGACCGCTCACAAGTGGAATTATTTCCGGAGCAAACGACAAAGAACCTCTTGCGCGTGTGCGTGCAGGACTGGCGCGAGCTTTGGATCGATGATGCTTTCTGGCGTTTCCTGTTCTCCGCCATCCTGCTGGTCATCATGTTCCTCTGGCGACCGTCAGCCAATAACCAGAGGTGGGCCGCTTTCTTTTCAACGCAGGCACGCGCTCGTTTTGTTCCGGGGACTTCCACAAGGGCACTTTTGCTTGGAAAATGCTCCCACGAAAAATATGCGACTTCAAATGATTGGGATTAAAAAAACAAACAAAAAAAACTCAAAAACAAAAAAAACTCGAAAACACTGCGGCAGGTGAAAAAACGAACCGATACGGCGGCCTGGGGCGCCTGTACTTGAACTTGATGTGCGTGTGTTGCAGGTACGCCTTCCGCCCCCTGGTGGACGATGAGGAGAGTGACGAAGAGGAGGAGGAGCTCATGGTGAACGAAGCTTTTGGTCAGATGTCTTTTCTTTCTCCTCGCCACCTCAAACGTGTTTGCACGCAAGCCTTTTGCTGTCACGCCAGGAAAAAAAAAAAAGGATTCCTTTTCACGTTTGGACATGATCGGTTTCGGTTCACCCGAATTGTGAGGAATCACTTTTTGTTGTCTCGATATCATCTCACGGTAGCTACCGTCTCATGTTCACACGGCAAACGTTCAAGCCTCAAAATGTATCACGTGAAGAGGTGGGAAGGATCCCGTATGTGAAAGAAACGTGGGCGAGCGAGAGTCTCCCGGGGTGGCAGCAGAATGCTTTCTTGCAAACCAAAAAAAACCAAACAAACTCCAAAGTGACCGTCTCGGGTGCCTTTTGTTTTTCCCCGCCGGCGCTTGGACAGAGGGCATGAAGATGAGGGGCGTGAAGAACGAGACCAACGGGGCCGCCAGAGCCAACAAAGTGGTGAATGTTGACAACACGCAAATGCCATCCGCCCGCCCGCCCGCCCGCCGCCTTGCCATACCGGTGACCCCACTCAAGGGTTTTGGTTTTTTTTTTTAACCATCATCGGAGCTGTCGAAGATTGACTTGTCAGTGAAATCTGGCAAATCGCGCTCCCAAAAGCGCTTCCAAGCTGTTGACTTCCACTCCCAGCTGAGGGGGACTCGAAAAAAAAATGGCGACAGTGACACCGTGTGTTTGAAAACGAGCGCACGGCCTTAGCTTTTCCGTCCGCTCGCTTCATGCTAACAACACTTGAACCCTTTTAGCAATGGTGCGGCGACAGCCGTAGATAGACAATCCAACGGAACGCGTTCGGCTCGTATGTCGAGGCAGCGCCGGAGCCGTTTTTCAAAGACGACGGGCGGATCGGAACGGTACCCGTAGAGCCCGTTTTGCGTGTCCGACGCGGCCCGTTTGTCCGCGTGCCAAACGAGCTCTTGTCTTTTTGTCAGGATGAAGATCTGAAGTGGGTGGAGGAGAACATCCCCTCGTCCATGGCCGACGTGTAAGTGTCGGCGCCCGCGTGACCTTACGCTTTCCACGGCGCGCCGCTCATGCCGTGTCTTCCCGCCCGCAGCGCCCTGCCGCCCCTGCTCGACTCGGACGAGGTGAGTGCCCGAGGCGGGCGTCGCGCCTCCATCGCTGGCGGCTTGTTCACTTGGCCGTGGCCGCGCGGAATTGCCCGCGCCCTCTTTTCAGGATGACAATTCTTTGACACCCAAACGAGCGTTCCGAGATAAGTCCCTCCAGAGATTTTTTTGGGGTGCGCTGTGGGGGGAGAGGGAGGGAGACGCACACGAGCGGCAGGTTGTTACAAGGGCTCCAGATTTTGAACGTGTGCCAAGCAGCCAAACATGGGCGGCCCCCACCAGCAGGGGGCGCCAAAAGCCCCAAAGAGCAGAGCAGAGAGCGGCCCTTGAGAGGCAAATTCACGCCAAGGCAAAGTCGCAGTTGCGTGCGCGCGGTTCGCCGGCTGCGGCGCTTATGTAAAGCGCGGCTTACGTAAGGCGCTGTGGTCACACAAATTGAAAACGGGGCGAGACCGTGCCGAGAAATTGCAGCGGATGATGTTGAAGAGGTGGGACACCGACCGTCTGGAATGTCCACACCGCGACGGGTAAAGTGATGCGCCGCGCCGTTTTTTTTCAAAAGGACTTCGCTCCAACGCGTGCGTCGGAAACACGATCGGAAACCAGGGATCCGCCCGAGCTCAGAGATCCCAAGCGAGCCGTTTGCGTGGGAGCAGGTTCGAGTCCCACCTCCACGACGGCTACACTGATGGCATGATTCGTCCACCCCGGCGTTTCGCAATGTTGGTCGCGACCCCCACGTAGGAAGGAGGCAACATACGGCCCGCGCAAGCTGCCATTTTGAAGTGGCGATTCCGCTTGGACTCCGTCAAAAGCGGAGGTGTGAGTCTCCCGTCGCCACGTCTTCGTTTGGGGCTTGTCTTTTGCCATCTTGGCGAGAAAGTGAAGGGCAATCGGCGCGATGCGCTCGGGCGTCGCAAAATGTTGCCGAGGGGCCAAACGTCCTCGGCGGTTGACCTTTCAAGGGCAAACTTGTGCTTTTGTGTGTCAGGAGACCAAGACGACCAAGTTTGAGATGTCCAAGATGGAGTGACGTCCTTTGAGGGGCGGGGGGGGCGGCGGGGCGAGGCCCGAGCGACCTCCGGGGCATCCGAGCCCGACTCGATGAGCTTCCTTCGGGCAAGCGCTCCACCGCGGCCGCTTTGCTGTTTTTCTCGGAGCGATGGCTGCTTTTTGTATTTATGTCCAGACACGCGGCGACGGACGCGACGCATGACTTTTGCTCGCCCTTTCAACGTACCGATGCCGGGTTGCGTACGCCGTTGCCACGGCAGCGCTGCCGGCGAGATGAGGCGAGGCGAGGCGTGCCTGTGTTTGGGCGGGTCTCTTGGTTGACTTTTGGGTTCCGTCTTTTGTGTTTGGACTGTTGAAAATCATTATTTCTCACCGCTTTTCTGCTGTCATGTCATGTGACTAAAATAGCTTTGAAAAGTCTGCTTTGCACTCCTGACTTTCTTGACACACCGGGCCAGCACGCAAACCCCCCCCCCCAAAAAAATCCAAGTCTCACTCGCCATTTTCGGTGCAATGAATCCGCTGGCGACTGAAATGAAAGTCCCCCGAACACGTTCACACTTGCAAAATGAGCTTTCAGCCTTCATTTTTGTTATTTGTTCATTTCATAAATGAGCTTTCAGGAGGGGGGGGGGGGTTGTCCGTCTTCTCATGAACAGTTTTTTTCTTCATAATTTCAAAACAAAACAAAAAAAACCGAAGGCCAACCCCCTAAGACTTGGAGAAACCCCCCAAACGAAGCCTTTTCAAAACATCAAAACCCCAACCCGACATTTTTGTGTTTGTATCGTTGAAGAATGAAAACGAGCTCCTTTTGTCCTTTTTTCAAAACCTCGAGTCAATACATACTGAAATCGAGTCAAGTCGGGAAGATTTTGTGCCGCCAGCCGATTCCTTGCGCCGCTCCTTCTGCCAAGCGGCATTTCCCACGGGAAAGCGATGTCGGCGATCCAAATGGACAAAGTGCCTCGGCACTTTGAGCTGGGCGCGGGTTAGCCGGGGCGGCGCCGCCGCCGCCCTCCAGAGAAAAAGACGAAGGTCTCGGATTTGGATCTCGGACGACGAGACCACAAGAGGGGACGCCGCGACGGAGGAAGAAGAAACAAAAGGAGAAGAGCCGCAGTCCGGACGCCCCGCCGAGATGAAGGTGAGAGGATTTCCTTTGGACGGCCAACGAGCGAGAAGGCGTTTTGCCGCTAATTTGGCAGCTTTTGACGACGTTCTGCACGCAGCCGGCCGGAGCGCGTGCGCCGCACGGAAACGGGACGAGGGCGGCATCCGCAAACAAACGTCCTTTGGCGCTCGCTCAAGCCCCCGTGGCGTTTATTATTCCTGTACTTGGCGTCAAGCGTGGGAAAAGGCGCATCACGAGAGACACAGATGCAAAGTCAAGACAAGTCGCCCGGATGATTAGAAGGCCCACCGAACCGTGTCGGGGCACATCATGTCGGGGGCGGGCAGGGCGACAAAATCCAGCCCGAGATGCCTCGGACTGCCTTTTGCATCCCTCCGCCGTCCTCCGTTGTTTGACTGGATTCTCCCCAAAGCAGCTTTTGGAGACGACGCTTGGCGAAGAAGCGGCGTTGGAAACCTCTCGCCGGCCGCCATCCTTTTGGAAAGTAGTCAAGCCCAAGAGGCGCAAAGGTTCCAAACCGGCACAGCACAAGTGCGAGTGAGCTGCGGCTGGGCTGGAACCCCCCCCCCCCCCCCCCCCCCCCCCAAAAAAAAAAAGTCCAGTGGTTTATTGACATAACTGGGGTTTAATGTCTGTGAGCATCGCAATCATTTCGAGCGGCAAAAAAAAAAGCCTCAAGTGCGCATGCGCGCTCGTCACGTTCGCCTTCGCGCCACCCCCGCCGCAAAGAAATCTGCTTTTATCGCAGCGGTTACGTAAAAGGATGAGATTATCGATACGCGGATTAATGAGCGTCCAATGGCGGCCGTCCCCATCCCCCAAACCAGCCAGCGCGCGCCCCAAAATAAACACAACTCCACACACACACACGCACGCACGAGTTGACTTGTTAGATTTTCCTCTTTATTCCACTATTTCCCCCCCAATTTCTTTTTGTAGCTATCAGACGTGAAGACTGGACCAACAAAACATCGTCGTCGTCGTCATGTGAGTGTCAATGACCGCAGAGGGACAAACAGTGACAGGATGTGCTTTTACAAAATAAGACAAAGAATCAAATTGGCTTCCTTTTTTTGGTTTTGTTTTGTTTTTACATCATCATCATCATCATCATGTCCACGACAGAACAGTCTAAACACGCAACACAGAGAGCTGGAGACATTGCAGTGTTGTTTGGCGGGTGGGGGTGGGGGGGCGTCAGTCTATGTACTGGAGTCCAATCTACTTGGATGGAC